CCCCGTTTCTGTTTCAGTCTCAAACGATTTTACAGATAATAAATCTTAACACATCTTAACAATTTAACAGTTTTAGAGCATTAGTCTTGCATCCCACTCTCCCACTTTGTTGGTCAGTGGGAGAATTGAGCTCTAGCTTGTCCTGCCAGGACTTTAAACCTGGGCTTGAATGAGTCAGGGCCATCCGCGTGCACATGTGGAGGTGCTCATTGGTGAGCCTCGAACGAGCCAGAAAGTGGAAGGGTCAGTTCTTAGAAACTCTTTCAGGGACACATCTGCTTGGAGATCAACCAGTTGCATCTGGAGAGGCCCAGGATTTACCCATTTAAAGTGCTGTGTGACTTCCTCTGAGAACCCCCTGACATCCGTGATGATAAATGGGTTCTGAATGAACATGGTGAGCTGCTGTCCAAAGCTGAAGCTGTCAAAACGGTTGCTGAAGTTTACGATCAGCTTATCAATGAAGTCAACAAAAGAAGATACGTCTCTCTGTCCCTGTACCTGTTCCTGCACTGCTGGAAAAAAAGGCCACATTATCCATCTGTTTCTCATTTCCTAAAAAGAGAGAAAACTGCGTTGCCTTCTGATGTCTTAGCTCTGCCAAAAAAGATGCTACTTCCCTCCTGATGGACCAAAAGCGCGCTAAGACCTTCCCTTTGCTGAGCCATCTCACATTATTGTGCGGCAAAAGATCATCAGCATTGGCATGCTGCATGCTGGGTGGAAGAGGATGCCCTGAGAAAATTGATCATTTTCATCATTGTATTCATCACTTCAGCATGCTCATCTGACAGGGAGGCACAGAGGACAGATTGGTGAATGATGCAATGTAAGCAATGAGCTCTGGATTGTCCTCTTTCAGTCTTGCTACAGCTGCTTTCTCTCTCCCTATCATAGCAGGGGCTCCATCTGTGGCTATTGAAACCACTTGTGTTGGCTCTAATCTCCTTAATGGCCAGGTAGATATCTTCTCCTCTTGTACTGGTTTGAAGGGGAGTGACACCTAACAGATCTTCACAGAATGCTTTCTGGTCTGTGTTGAAAAACCTGACCTACACTAACAGCTGAGCATTGTCACAGATGTCAGTGGACTCATCCACAGCTAAGCCTACACATGGTGCCTTATGT